ATTTGAGGAGCAACTTGAGAAGCATGAGTGGTGTTAAGAGAGCAGATAAAATTGAAATTAAATTATCACAGAGATGTGAAGTGCATTAGTCAATATAATGTCAGAGTAAAGGAGAGCAATTTGTGATAGTCTTGGCATGTGGAACGATTGAATGATGGTAGACCGGTAGTGAAGAGTGTAATCAAAAGAATATGAGGGTAGAAGATAAAGGTAAGAGGAAACCAAGTATAAAAATATAAGGAATCTTTCCTTATTAAGACTACTCATAGCTTAGTGGATAGAGCTTCTGCCTCACACGTGGGGGTCCGTGGTTCGAGTCTCCTAGAGCCCAGGTGAATGGGAACCTGGAGGTGTTATGAACCCACGTTTTCTGTGCCATATCATGTCTGCAAGAAGGGGAGTATGTAAGTGTATAACACATGTGGTAATACAAAAGGTTTACTACTACTTGCTTTACTAGCAGTAGTGGTAAATCCATTTCGTACAAATCGTACAAATCCATTTGTAGTAGACAGATGGAATGCATAAGGAAGTAATGTGGTGGAGGCTGACTCCATACACAGTTTCAAGTGTAGATATGATAGAGCCCAATAGGCTCAGGAACATGTACACCAGTTGATTGACGGTTGAGAGGCGGGACCAAAGAGCCTGAGCTCAACCCCCGCAAGCACAACTAGATAAGTACGAGATGCACAGTACCTGGATGACCGTTTAATAATTTTTGTAACAAATCTCCTCTCTCGTTCGTTCCCATAAGAACACTAATAGTGTTCATTAGAACACCCTTGTGCCTAGTCAGCCTTATGTTTCAGGTTATCGTTTGGTTTTGAAAACTGCGTCGTAGACGGAATATATCCACACAGTCAGCCTTAAAGTTGAGACAGTATGATATCGCAGGTTTCTCAGACTACAAACCAAATTATCAAGCAATTACGTTATCACATCATCACAGGTTTTATTTGTACGCTTTATTAAATAATTAAATATGGACATTAAGGAAATATTAAAGACTAGCCTAGCCCCAACTCTGGCTTGGGGAGTAGAAAATTTCCTAGAATCTATAACAGGTACACTACAGGTACCTCTGGGAGGCTAGCGTCGAACATGGTCTCTTAAAAATTATTGTCGTGTTGAACAGCGGTGAAAGGCGAATTAATATGGATGAGATGAGCAGTACAAATGGCCAGAAATATATGGTTTTAGGGAGATTTTCATTATTCGTACAATTTTTGTTTTTCTCCTCGTCGGCACATGTATATATGTATATATATGTACATATATGTACATGTATGTTTGAGTATATGTACATGTATATATAACATTAATAGTTGTGTAACTAGCGTCAAAAATTATTTGCTTAGCTAAACGCACTAGAGGGTTCAGTTCCTGAACCGATTATGTGTGTCTGTAATCCTTTACACCACCGCCCACGGGATGGGTATGGGGTGCATAATAAAGAAAGAAATTGATTGGCATAAGTGTTCACTCCAGGGTTCGGAAATATGGCATAGCACCGCAAAAGAAGCCATATTTTAGCGTGTTAGATTCTACGAAAGCCTTATAACTTAGAGCAACGGGGAACTATAGAGGGATATATAAAGACTCGCTGTTAGGTTCAAGACTCCCAGATGGTATGGTAAACGATCTGGGGAGTGAAAAGGTCGCACCTGATGCCGTGAGGTAAGAGTCTGAAGGTGACCTACATTGAGATTATAGAAGAGCAGCGGTTTGCATGGCTTCCTCTTCACGGATGTTACTTGCTAGAGTGACGGGCGCTGCTGCTGCTGTTCCTTGTGGTGGTGCTGCTGCTCCTACTGTTGCAGCGGCTGTTAGAGGGGTTACTATGAAAAGTAGAGGCTCACAAATACCCATGTTGTCTATGAGTAGGTTAGTTAGGTTAGACGGGTGGCTAGGATTCGTGTTTTAGTACCCATTATTTTGTACGCCGGCAACTGAAGAGAACGGACTGGATAGTGATGTTGCTGTTGCAGTTCCTGTTGGTGGTGAGCTACTATTACTGTTGCTGCTGCAGCAAGACGTATTGCCAACGTCCAAAAACTCGTCCTTGTCAAACAGGAGCCAGGTATTTAAAAAGAGTTGTAAAGCTTGTGGCTGCGAGGACAGTGTCACAGATATCGATAATTTAGTTACAGGGTAGAAGAGGGTGAGGAAATGTTGAAACATTGTCATGAGGATTGATTGATTGATGAAGATTAAGCCACCCAGAAGGTGGCACGGGCATGAATAGCCCGTAAATGGTGGCCCTTTTGAGCCATTACCAGTATCAATAGATGATACTGGAGATCTGTGGAGGTGCGACTGTACCCTACGAAAGAGGTCGTGACATCTGTGTCATGAGGCTGTTGTTGTTATAGATTCAGCTACTCGGAACAAGTTCCAAGTAGCACGGGCTATGGTGGGCCCGTAACTTACCTGGCACAGGAGCGGGGCAAGAAGCACGGGCTATGGTTAGCCTCGTGGACGGGAGATGTCTCCCCGTCATGAGGCTGCTGTGAGGTGTGTGTATATGGGCAGGGGAGCAGAGGGAGGTGTGGAATGGGCAGATGTAAGAGGGAGCTATGAGCATGCGAGCGGTGGTGTTGCGTGAGCAGGCAAACGGTGGAGGTGCACTGGGTTGGCAAGCGAATAGTATGTTGGGCAAAAGGATGAATAGGCTAGCGGAGAAAGTGGGTGACGGAGCGAACAGGGAAGAGGGACGGGCAGGCTTTGTTGCCCGAATATTTCGTCATAACACGCACATCTTTCTCTAATATTTACTAATGCAAACACGGATATACACGTATATACCCCCTCCCCACACGCACCCAATTTATGCTTGGGGGGGGGAAGTCATGTGCTGCCCCCCATACCTCAGCTAGTCTTGTTCTGTGTGCTATTACACCCATTATCAGCTTCCGAGACTGAAAATTATGCCTTTTGCTTAAATGTGCGTGAGAGCCTATTAAAAAGTCCAAACTCTGAACACAAAAACTTCCTTTAAAATCAAACTTAAATAACAAACACTAGACTATTAGTGACACGTGTTATACCAGGAGGGAACAGATGACCAGCTTTGGTCCTGCACTGTTACAGGCCTACCGTATAGGTTTAGTGCATTCCAGCATAGGATCATATGACCAAAGTATCGCTACCGTGTGGAATACATTCTTCAAGAGGAAACTCAATTTATTCCTCCAAGGAGTGCCGGACCAACCGGGCTGTGGTGTGTATGTGGGCCTGCGGGCCGCTCCAAGCAACAGCCTAGTGGACCAAACTCTCACAAGTCAAGCCTGGCCTCGGGCCGGGCTTGGGGAGTAGAACAACTCCCAGAACCCCATCAACCAGGTATCAACCTACATCTCGGATACATACATTACGATTATCTGTCTGTGGTACACCCAGGAAAACCTAACCGTAGGCTAAGCCCAAAGTTTGAAAATGATGTGGGTTGTATAGAAGCATTTCTAAACGTACTGCTTTTCGACCTGTTCTATAGTTAAGTAAATCCAAATGTCTAATCATGTACCAGTTTAGATTCACGTTGCGTCTTAAAAGTACTATATTTCTCGTTTGACTTGTGATCGACTGGTTCAGATACAGTACAGTAATTGCAGAATAAATCTAATTCTGAGCTGGTACCTGGACATACCTTCCTCCCGGGGAAGAGGCAAGGAGATACAGTTGTTACAGTTTAACACGGTAAACCACTCAGGCATGTAGTCATAGCACTAAACTACACGCCCGCCATCTCTTCGCTGATTACAGTCCGTTAAGGGTTTCGTAGCGAAATCGCACGGATTATATTGCCACATGGTATGTATATATAATATATAGTTTTTTAATGATGGCATATGCGTATGGTCATTGCAATTCAAATTGCTCTAGCTTCAAAGTTCATTTTAAATAAAGCTTTTCATGCTGACAGGTCTCTCCCCAGCAGCATCGACACAAGCCTAAATTTTTTAACTTCGGTATGCTGACACTTGACAACCGTGTACCTAAACTTGAGACATTTTCGACGATTACAGTCGTGAATTGAAGGCGTTATGACGTTAACTGTAGCTACAAAGTAACTCGTTTGTACATTGAATATGAAAGGTACGAATATTATTTTTTTTTAGTGTTGGAAGAAAAAATGCGAGTTAGCGAGATGAAGACCATCGCCAGGAAGCCCTCGATAGACATGCTGATCCAGCTTCCTCTGGGCAAGCACTATGATCACCTGCATCTTGTCCATCATTCACACCGCATTTAGCATCATTTATGTGTTTCTTTCAGAGCGTATATCTTGGAGTGATGAGCGTAAGTAGAGAGATGGAAAGGTAGTAAGGTATCGCGGTTGGATTAGTGTGGAAAAGATACCATGCAGAGATGGTAGTGGTGATGGTGATAAGAGTTTGGGCAGGTGTGTCCTCACCCAGCATGTTGTCACTCTGCGTCCGGCCATCCCCGAAGCCTGGCACAATCGCTCTGTGCTCTCCCCCATCCTCTGTAGCACCAGCTTGAATTACCTCACTATCTCGCGCCGTTACATTGCTTCCACCCCAATGGTGGCCTGTGCTTGTCACTAGCGACACGCTTTTGACTTTATTGAACAGGACTTGCTTACCCTTGTGTAAACTTGACGCTACCTGACGCGAAACTTCGTTCTGTCGAAATTTCTGATTTACTATTACATACAATATAAAGTGCAGCAGTTGTTGCTGAGTGAACCATGTGGGCCCGGGATTACTGCGACTTGCTGGTACAAGATCTGGTACGTTTGTTTAATCTAATTGATTGATTGATGAAGATTAAGCCACCCAAAAGGTGGCACGGGCATGAATAGCCCGTAAGTGGTGACCCTTTTTGAGCCATTACCAGTATCAAGAGCTGATACTAGAGATCTGTGGAGGTGTTAAACCCAAGTGTTAAAGAGTTTTAAGTAACTATTGTGATCCTTTGCCATGTAATGATATCTTATATAGATGACTAAATTAGTTTTTTTTTTATCTCAACAGTCTACTGACTGGGACGCGGATGAGCTCCTGCGGTCGGTTCTGGATGGAAGTGATATGCCATCAGGTCTGGACAACCCCACCCTGGGGTCTCTGGGCTCCCTGGAGTCCTCGGTCTCCAACCTGAGCACCACCCCACTTACCACTCCCACTCTTGAGGCTCCAGACGACATGGACTCCTTGGAGAACTTGGTGGGACTTCCGTTCCACGCTGTGCTAGACTCCGGGGCGTCAGACTCCGGCATGTCCAGCGACTCCTCCCTTGATCAACAGGTAACGGGATCTGTCGACACGTCGACATAGTTTAATCAAGTTCTTACGAATACGTATATTAGGGTACATGTTCAGCCATTCGTGATATTTCAGTCATACTAAACAATAACCAATTATTTCTGCCTGTGAATTATATGTTTAAATTTCGTTATCGTGTTTAACTGTAAAGTGAGGACATTAACTAATGCCTCAGAATGTATATACACAGCTTCAGTTAACCAGGATTTTTCTTGATCAGTTGTCGCCATTGTCTGGGTACTCTGTGTCGTCTCCGGGCTCCCTGGGCGAGATGGGGTTAGGTATGGGGCTGGCGTCTCCAGACCCTGGGCTCGACGCCACCTCCGACGTGTCCTCCTCTAGTGACCTGGGGTCGCTGGGGTCCCTTGGCTGTACTTCCCCACAAAACAGCACCGTCCTGGCGTCTCCCTACAGTCCCGAAGCCATGCTAGGCATCGATGACTTCATTCACACGGATTCAGGTAAGCTGCACTCTAGATATCAATGAGTGGATATTGATACACATGTTTACACGGGGTATTCATGCCCGTGCCACCTCTTGGGTGGCGTAATCTTTATCAATCGATCGATAAAACATGTGTATTTTACTCCTGCCCCACACAGCACCGCTCCTGTGCCAGGTAAGTCCACTACGGGCTCACCATAGCCCGTGCTACTTGGAACTTGTTCCGAGTAGCTGAATCTATAACAACTACTCCTGCCGTGCCACATCTTGGGTGGCTTAATCTTCATCGTTGCACATGTGCAACCTGTGTACACACGTGCAACCTGTGTACACATGTGCAATCTGTACAATTTATTTTAAGTGCAGAGGCTCGTTGTTTTAGATTTTACTTCATAATATACATAAAAATAATTAGACGAACCAGGTTTTACTAATTTTCAATTTACTGTATTTTTACTCTCCCTTATTTTTACTTTTACGGGGAATGGTATTTCATATAGATTCCAATTTTTCCTTTCAATAAAACTAAGTTAAAATGTTCATACTTGTCCTTGCTTTATTTGATATGGTGAAATATATCACCATATCAAATATATATTATTTGAAATATATATTTATTTGAAATATATCTACTACATATATTTCTAGGAAGCAGCCGTAGCAGCTGTCTCAACTCCCAGGTACCTATTTACTGCTAGGTGAACTGTAGCAACTGGGTAAAAGAATCTACTAGTGTTACAGCAATCCACTAAAATTGTGAACTTTGTGAGTGATGAGGATTGCTCACAATAAAGATGTGTACTGGTTACTAGTCGATGTGTACTGGTTTAACAGTCGATACAGTACACAATAAAGATGTGTACTGTATCGACTGTTAACTAAGCACTTGGGCTGGACGGTAGAACGACGGTCTCTCCTCTTGCAAGTCGGCGTTCAATCCCGGACCATCCAAGTGGTTGGCCACCATTCCTTTCTCCCGTCCTATCCTAACTCCTTATCAAATGAACAAATCACTCATTTGTTCATTTGATGCATCACGTTAGTGTGATCTCTAACTCCTTATCCTTTCCAAGTGATATATAGTCGTAATGGCCTAGTGCTCTTCCCTGATAAATTACCTTGAGCATTTTAGTGAAAATGGAACGAGGGGATAATTTTATTTACAATAAGATTTAGTCTTCCCGTCTTGATCCCCGAGTTGACTATGCTGGTCTTATACCCTTGCCACTCCCTGTTTTACGAGTGATATTTAAGCCTTGCATTTGGTATGCATAATTAATCCGCAATTAAATTCAAAACAATTTGTAGAATTATAGAAACTGGGATGTATTGAAGGTGATTAAATTAACACTTGCGAATGATTGCATTGTGGCGACGTTTGTCAAACGTGTGGTGGTGGTGGTGGGGTAGGAGGGTAGGATAACACAAGCATATACTAGGGAAAACCCGTCCTTAAGTTCTTTGGAGTCTGTTTAATAGCAAGTATCGCAGACTCGCATTATTGAGCCCATTTGCTGGTAGGAATAATAGGGGTGGTGGTGGGGGGGGGGGGATTTTCTCCATGAGGAGCTGGATTCCAACGATCCTATCTTGGGAGACTGACGATCCTCCTCCCAACGATACCATGAGGAGCTGGATTCCAACGATCCTATCTTGGGAGACTGACGATCCTCCTCCCAACGATCCTCCTAGGAGACTGATGATCCTCCTAGGAGACTGATGATCCTCCTAGGAGACTGATGATCCTCCTAGGAGACTGATGATCCTCCTAGGAGACTGATGATCCTCCTAGGAGACTGATGATCCTCCTAGGAGACTGATGACCTCCTAGGAGACTGATGATCCTCTAGGAGACTGATGACGGTATTCTGGTATTGTTTATGTCCCGCTTCGAAACTTGTAACGAATATTATCTGGCAGTAGTTAGCGTGTGTGTGTGTGTTTACTATTTGGGTGTGCAGAATAGAGTTTTAGCTCTTGGACCCCGCCTTGCTAACCAATCTATTGTTTCCTCTTATTATATCTACTACATATATTTCTAGGAAGCAGCCGTAGCAGCTGTCTCAACTCCCAGGTACCTATTTACTGCTAGGTGAACTGTAGCAACTGGGTAAAAGACACTGCCCATTTCTGTCCTGACCGGGAATCGAACCCAGGTCCCTAGGACTAGGACCCAATTCAGCCGTGAGGGAATGTGTGTATGTGTGTGTGTAACTGTACTGTTGGTTGTGTATGAGAGTTGTTGATGCACACACGCACACATTACGGTAAAAATATTACACACACAAATGTAAGGAGAATTTTTTTTACCGTACTTTAAAAGTATTGTGTGGTAGTATTATGGTGAAAATGGGTCACATGTATTATCACATGGCGCAATGGGCGCCGGCGGTGTGAGAGGGAGGGTGTTCAGCCCACTATAGGGGGGGAGAGAGAGAGAGCGGGTGCACGCGTTCCCACCGGCTAACACAAGCACGCCAGCCTAGCGCGTTCCTTCCATGACCACATATGTCGCAGCTCTACTAAGCAAGGGCTCATTTTTTTTCCTCCTATAGCTTCTTCCTGTCTCCCCTACTTCTTCTTCTTCTGTCCCCACTTCCCTGTCGCCCCTCGGGGGTGTCTTGTCCTGTATCTACTCTTAGTCACCTGACGCCTGATATTAGGAGACCACCTTTTTCTGACGGTGTTTTAGATTCAGCTACACGGAACAGAATTCCTATGTAGCACGGGCTATAGTGAGCCCGTAACTTTTTCTGACTCGTGGCGACTTTATATGCTGGCAGATGCTTTTGTTATGATGTATTTCTTTTTAAAATTAGCATTGTAAAGCAGGGAGAGGAATGAAGGGGAGGGGGAATGTTTGAACGTATTTATATTAAAGGTTAGCATTTTTCTAGGCTATGAATGTCTAGAAGACACATTTTACACCCGACGATGTAGATCTGATAAAAGTGAACTGTCGGCAGAATTATTCCTCACCTTAAATCATCGTGCAGCTAAATTACCAGCATTATCCTCACTTTAATAAGACTTAATCGAAATCCTGAGATTAGGCAAAATTGTAATTGATTTTGTCAATAAAGATGTTAATAATAATAATAACCTAAATTACACAAAAGATCAGAACGTGTATATGCATAAACAACCTTTGCATCACTCTAAAATGCCCCTCAAATACCCCGAACTTAGCATACCTGTAACTAATGAATTGACCGTGACCAACCTACACAGCAGAAGATGGAGAAGCGACGACGTTTCGGTCCGTTGTGGACCGTTATCGTCACATACGACTTAATGATGGTCCAGGACCGACCGAAACGTCGACGTTTCTCCATCTTCTGTTGTGAGGTTTGGTCACCATATCCTCAGCTACATGCAGGCGATGAGTCACAATAACGTGGCTAAAGTATATTGACCAGACCACACACTAGAAGGTGAAGGGACGACGACGTTTCGGTCGGTCCTGGACCATTCTCAAGTCGATTGAGAATCGTCTTCAGCCACGTTATTGTGACTCGTCGTCTGCAATGAATTTACTATTTTTACCCCTGTTTTGTCAATTGTATTTATGCTGTCATTTTTAAATAGTTACAAATGTTTGCATTATGACCTTCAGGGTTCTCGTCTCCGGTGCCACAAGCGGTGCCTGACCCCGTGTGTCCTCCGGCGGCCAGTGTGGCGGTCACTGTTGTCAGCACCACCCCCACCTTCATCACCAGACCCATCCTCGCTAAGGTCACCTCAGTCTCGGTGCCTTCTACAGTGTCCGTCGTCGCTGCTTCCTCGTCTATGTCGACGCCGGTGACACATGTGACCAGTGTGAGTCCCCCGGTGCTCAAGACGGTGACGGTGAGCGCGCCCGCCAGCACGGTGAGCACGGTGGGCGGCCAGACCATCGTAGTTACCCAAGCTAGCAAGGGCACTACCAACGCCCACTTGGTGCGCAGCGGCACGCTTCTCAAGTCCGGTCAGGCGTCCCGCTCCATCCTGCTGCCCGTTACTGTGAAGGACCTCAACCAGGTACGTACGTGCGCTTCGCTGTATATGCTGTTCTCTGCACCACTGTGCAGTGGTGCATCATCGATGAGTATAGGTGTATATATATTGTTACGTCAGGGGGAGGAATAGGGGGTACGGGAGACATCTCCCGTCACGCAGGGTGCAGTCGCACCTCCACAGATCTCCAGTATCATCTATTGATACTGGTAATGGCTCAAAAGGGCCACCACTTACGGGCTATTCATGCCCTAGCCACCTTTTGGGTGGCTTAATCTTTATCAATCAATCAATCAATCGAGGAATAGGGGGGCTAGTAACGGACTATTGTGGTTCTGGAATTTTATCTATCAGTGACGCATTTCAGGTGCGGACCATCAAGATCATTAGCACTGGTGGAACTGGAGGTGTGGGCGGGCGTGGCGTGCGAACCGTTGTCTCCACCGTGCGGACCCCTAGCACAACCACCACCCTCAACAGCCAGTCCATCCGCAGTGCCATTCTGGGTGCCGTGAGAAGCCACGACACCAAGTCACTGCTGAAGGGTGGCACCACCACCGTCCTCAGCACTGCACGACCCACCACCACCATTTCCTCCACTCACACCTCGCCCACGCGTATCAAGGTAGAACCCAACGACGACGACGACGACGATGATGACGACCAACCACACACGGCATTTCAACAGCTGACGCTTTCTGGTGAGTACCCATGTTTGCATGTACCCATGCCATGTGCTTACATACACCGGCACATGTCATGGTCACATCTGGTTACAGCAGGACTTCTCAGGTCTGGGAAAACTGCGGACTGTGATAGCGTTAAAGGCTGACAATCGATATGACTTAAAGATGATGAAGCGAGGTAGGCAAGTGGCATGACACATCTGGGTGGCGTTGTCCAGGCAGGTGTGAGTGTCCAGGGTGGCGTTGTCCAGGCAGGTGTGAGTGTCCAGTGTGGCGTTGTCCAGGCAGGTGTGAGTGTCCAGGGTGGCGTTGTCCAGGCAGGTGTGAGTGTCCAGGGTGGTGTTGACCAGGCAGGTGTGAGTGTCCAGGGTGGCGTTGTCCAGGCAGGTGTGAGTGTCCAGGGTGGCGTTGTCCAGGCAGGTGTGAGTGTCCAGGGTGGCGTTGTCCAGGCAGGTGTGAGTGTCCAGGGTGGTGTTGTCCAGGCAGGTGTGAGTGTCCAGGGTGGCGTTGTCCAGGCAGGTGTGAGTGTCCAGGGTGGCGTTGTCCAGGCAGGTGTGAGTGTGTCCAGGGTGGCGTTGTCCAGGCAGGTGTGAGTGTGTCCAGGGTGGCGTTGTCCAGGCAGGTGAGTGTGTCCAGGGTGGCGTTGTCCAGGCAGGTGTGAGTGTCCAGGGTGGCGTTGTCCAGGCAGGTGTGAGTGTCCAGGGTGGCGTTGTCCAGGCAGGTGTGAGTGTCCAGGGTGGCGTTGACCAGGCTGGTGTGAGTGTCCAGGGTGGCGTTGTCCAGGCTGGTGTGAGTGTGTCCAGGCTGGTGTGAGTGTGTCCAGGCTGGTGTGAGTGTGTCCAGGCTGGTGTGAGTGTGTCCAGGCTGGTGTGAGTGGCTTGGTAGTTCAGCGTGACATCGGACATAACCAAGGCAGGATAGTCTGTTGATAGGTCATATATATTAATACACCACATTTACTATCCCTCGTGAATTTTGATGCCACAACTTTCAGTAAGTTTGTAATTTCTGAAAAGCCACTTTAAGTCTTGGTTGTAAAAGGCAAGAATTTTAATGGCATGAAGGGTGCAAGATATAGACAGCATTAAGATGTTAAACTAAAGATGATGTTAAGATGCATTAAGATGTTAGACTAAAATCGACCTTCATGGAAGGAGAGTAAACGACATGTATTTGGGAGGCTGCGCTCTCTGGCATTCTCGGTGAACGTGACCGGCTGAGTGTAGGAGTATCTTGTAGTCATTGCTTTATTGCAGTCATTGTATTTTGCTGCATTGCGTCTGCTTCCGCCACGATGGCGGAAAGTGCTGTGTGTGAACTGATGCGCTTCTCGGCGTTGTTTTATTCTAAGCTGGTATGGCGCTTTATTTTATTTTTGTTTCTTGCGACCTTTGAAGCGTGTATTAGGTAAGCTGGTCAAGCCGTGTGAGGCAAGTTTGGGGGTGGATGTGGAGAAGGCAGGAGTCGTGGGAGTGTAAATACCAGTCACACAGTGGGGAGGTTTGTGCACGTCGGGGGGTAGGGGGGGGGATGCGGTGCTCTTCCGGGATAACATCTTACTTTTCCTCACTCACTCACTCTCCTCTCTCTCCTCTCTTTCTCTCCTCTCTCTCTCCTCTCTTTCTCTCCTCTCTCTCTCTCTCTCCTCTCTCTCTCTCTCTCTCTCTCTCTCTCTCTCTCTCTCCTCTCTCGCTCTCTCTTTTTTTGCAAATTCCCCCATTTGATATTCTATTTAATTTAATTTCAATACTTCATTTGATATTTCTATTTAATGTGTGCCATCTCCGATCGTCTCTGCCTTTGTATCGTTTTCGTTCCTTTCTTTTGCTGTCTTCCTAAGTTCCTTGAAAGGACTAAGAGTAGTTAACAGATGGAATGCATTAGGCAGTGATGTGGTGGAGGCTGACTCCATACACAGTTTCAAACGTAGATATAATAGAGCCCAGTAGGCTCAGGAATGTGAACTTAATTGATTGACGGTTGAGAGGCGGGACCAAAGAGCCGGAGCTGAACCCCCGCAAGCACAACTAGGTGAGTACCACCCCACTTGCACCACCATTTCGGCTAGTAATCACTATATCACCCTAATCCTATACCGAGTTATACCAAGCTGCGTATATAATAATATCGATTGGCCATATGCGAGCGAAACCAAACACGTTTGGGGCGATGGGCGGGTCAGATACAAGGGAAGACGAGGATTGACGGCATTCCAGACATTGACTGTGTCCTCGTAGGGTATATTTCCTGGATTGGTGCCGTGACCTGACCTGCCGTTCACCGATCATAGAGTGCTATTTAGAACGTTATCACTCATGCTGGTAGCTCCTTTCCCCCCCCCCTCTTTCTCCCCCCTTCCTTCCCCTCCCCTCTTCCTCCCCCCCCCTCTTCCTCCCCCCCCTTCCTCCCCCCCCCTTCCTCCCCCCCCTTCCTCCCCCCCCTTCCTCCCCCCCCTTCCTCCCCCCCCCTCCCCCCCTTCCTCCCCCCCCTTCCTCCCCCCCCTTCCTCCCCCCCTTCCCCCCCCTCCCCCCCCCCTTCCTCCCCCCCTTCCCCCCCCCCCCCCCCCTCCCCCCCCTTTCTCCCCCCCTTCCTCCCCCTCCTCCCTCCCCCTCCTCCCTCCCCCTCCTCCCTCCCCCTCCTCCCCCCCCCCTCCTCCTCCCCCCCCCCCCCCCCTCCCCCCCCCCCTCCTTTCCACCAGTTTCCCTTCCCCCAAGGAGTTGTTCGAAGGACGTTCAGACATGTACGAAACAGTCTTGCAAGACTGCCAATGTAAAATCAGTACAAGTATTTCCGATTGTCGGCGTTTTAAATTTGGCGGCGTAATTGTCACATCTTCACATACAACTGGCGGCCTCCCCCAGACAAAGATCTCCAACTTTCATAATTAAGAGTTCCATTCCCCTGGGCTGTAGGATACTCGAACCACGGACCCCAGGCGTGTGGGAGGCAGAAGCCCCTGTGATAGAGCTCCTGCCTCCACGCGCGGGGTCCGTGGTTCGAGTCTCCTACAGCCCAGCTGAATGAAATGTGTATTTCCACGGAAGTGTAGATGACAATTTAAAGGAAGAGTTAATAATAATGTGCCTTTATCTGCTTGATGGGGTTCTGGGAGCTCTTCTACTCCCCGAGGTCATAGGCTTGACTTGTGAGAGCTTGGTCCAACAGGCTGTTGTTGCGGCCCGCAGGCCGCTATCCTTGTAAAGATGATACTGGAAGGTCTTCAAGAGGGAACTCCAACAAGCTATGCCAAATTACGCTATATCGTCCCAAATTAGGCTATGCAGTCCCAAATTACGCTATGCAGTCCCAAATTAGGCTATGTAGTCCCAAATTAGGCTATGTAGTCCCAAATTAGGCTATGTAGTCTTATGGGTCGGAACAGTAAGTCTTCTTGATAAGATAACCAGGGAAACCTAATCTCGAGTTACTGTCTTAGTAGGGGGGAAGACGTGTTTAAAACATTAAACCCTTGCCCAATTTACGTAAAATGTTGAAGAATGTACTGGAGAAAAGGTACTACCAGAATCTGCCAGTAATAAGAGGAATGAGAGGTTTGGGGGTATAATAGAGGGTGCTTCTGAAAAGGTAGGAGTCGGTGTTCCGTGAAGAGGTTCAGACTGGTTGGTGCGGTAGCCCGGTGAGGCTGAGGGAGGCGCTTTGGTTCTTACAATGGTATTTGCTGGTCCCTACATGGCTCTGGTCGCCATTGCGTCGATTATATTTAAGACTTGGGTCTAGTAGTAGGCATCCATCAGTCTCAGGAGACTATGGACTTGCGTTGGCCTGGTCTGGTCTGGAGGGTCTCACAACGGCGCAAAGCCAGTGTAGGTTGATTCGGGGGAGAAGCTGTTACCCAGGCAGCAAGTCTTCCCCCCCCCCCCCCTCGCCACGGCGCTGAAAGTCTCCAATGGAATACACCAATACGATTGGTTCCCCAGTACCACTAAATATTAGTGGTTCTGGGGTCTACAGTACCACTAATGTTTATATTGTAAATGATGTAATTTGTGATGCTGAGGGATGGCTAGCTAGTTCGTGCAGCGGTAGAGATGGTAGAATTGGGGAGGGAGGGAGAGGGAGAAGAAGGGGGGGGGGGAGTGAGAGAGGTCAGTGTCCGCAGAGGGAACGGCTTGTAGTCTGTTACGTAAAAAAGATCTATATTATATACGTCTATTTCTTCTCTGGTATTTAGCAGTAAACGTTTTCCTTCCTCAATGCCACGTGTGTGTTATTTCGCCTCGTGTGTAATATTATGTGAGAGACGTAAGGGTGTACGATAAAAGTTTTGTAGAGTGAGAACAATAGCACAGTGGTAGAGAGGTAGGAGATGATGTAGCCCAGGTGTGCAAGTGGTGGTGAGTAACATGTGCAGTGCACCTGTGCCTGCCTAGTCCCTGAACAGGAAGGGGGTCCCTGCACCTGTGCCTGCCTAGTCCCTGAACAGTAAGGGGCCCCTGCACCTGTCCCTGCTAGTCCCTGAACAGGAAGGGGGCCCCTGCGCCTCCAGTGTCTAACCCCCTTTCCCCTGGCACGTCTGCCAGCTCACCTTATCATCCGTAAACTGGATCTTACTCGTGATGCTTCTGCAGAACACATCAACATAGCAGTCGAATGTTAGTGAAGAGAGGCATTAATTAATAATGTGGTGCGGGGTAGTGTGTGTGTACGTGTCGGTGGGAGGGAAGGGGGTCCTGGCCACACTGGTCCCTGGGGTGTACCACATTGTGTAGTCACATGGGAGCGTCGTAAAGAGCAGGTGTATAATGGTCCCGTTACTCGTCTCTCGGGGCGGCTTCGGCGGCGGCGTCTCTCGATTTGTTGGCAATCATGGCATTTTTTTGTTTTCATTGGATTTAAAAGCTCAAAGTGTGTTAAACTGTAGAGTAGACTGAAGCTTACTCAGTATATTCTGAAATCGGAGTGAGCTTAGCGCTCCATAATCCTATAATAAGCACCACCTTGTCACTTCCGTTATTAAAGTGATGACATCTTGCAGGCATTGAGCATGTAGAGGT